CCTATTTAACCTTTAAAATTACGTCACATTGTCAAACTTGATCTCGTACCGCCTCCGTGGTCGAGAGGTTAGAGTCGATGACTTCTAATTCAGTTACTTCTCTGGCGTCGGTTCGATCCCCGGGAGACGTTTGAGTTTGGTAGTTTAGCGCGGAGGAAGGTAGTCTAGTACTGGTGTAACTCTCCAGGAACGATGGTTAGGAAACTACCCGCCTATATGACTGAAATACTGTTGGGAAAAGGCGTAAAATGAAACAAAGAAACAAAAAAAGATGTACTTCTTCGCAAATTGACGTGGAATACATATGTATGTGTATGTAGTCTATGTTTAATGCGGGTCCATCAGCCTGGTAAGGCACAAAAAACAGCTTTCGCTGTCGAGTACGGACCCCGGACATGTCACCAGTCATGCCTGTTGATTTTGAAGCACAAAGTGGTTATAATTTACCACGGAGTATTAGCCAAATACATGTAGATGAATTTTGAGCCAAAAGTATATGTCCCTGTACGGCGGTCAATAGGAACCTAAATGTACAGTAACCTGAGGGGTAGCCCTTAAAAGGGCTGACATTAGTGCCAAGCAAAGGGCATGTCTTACAAGCCGGCTGTCATTCAAACTAGGGGCTCACGTACCCTAGTACACCATGCTAATAGACTCTGCCTACTTTGTAAGGCCACTCTCTTCGGCTTCAGTCAGGACATCGGCAACTGGTCCCCAGTTGTTGACGAAGTAGCAGTCCCGATAACGGGCAGGGCAATTTATAGATTTACTACCCGCCAAGCCGCAAATCTTCTGCCGATGCTCTGAGCCTCCTCAGCGAAGTACACGCACCGCAGGAAAGTGAGGTGCTTGGAATACGTACCACACGCAAGCACTTTTATTTTGTACAAAACTTGATCTATATTCATCAAACTATTTTTTTAATATACCACTTTGGTACAATTTTCTTCATATTTTTAATTCAACTTCACAAACAGCTAAATTATTTTACAAAAGGGAACTCAGTAAAAGTGTTGAACATTTCTAGAGGTATTGTTTATATATGTCGTAGGGTCATATTGATGCGTTAATGTTCTTTGTTGTTTGTCAATGTATGTCCCGTATTGTACACCGTAGATTATGTTATTTACATGTCCATGTCATGTATGCCGTATTTGATACTGTATATATCTTGTGAAGTCCTATATTTGTGTCCTTTCCTATATTCCATCCATTCAACCTTTTATTCATTTACTCATTCATTTCTTCATTCATTCATTTGTTAACAAGTATGTACTAACCATTGGTACGGGTCTCAATTCTAAATATTCTATTTCCGCACTAAGTACCTTTACGCATGCGCAGTCCTACTTAAGATTTTCATGGCGCGAGCTAGACTTCGTATTCATTGATAATAAATATTTTCTGAGAGCGTATTTCTGTATTTTTATAGCAACCCTCAAGCCCAGAACCTCTTAGCAGCACCTTTCCCATATCGTTAGAGTGGACTGCGACATATACAATTTGATATAATTGATAGGAGAAATAAGTGATATCACCTGGACATAGACATTTTGACGTCAAGGTCAGATTACTGTATTGGCTGCAAAAAGTGCAAGGAAAACCGAAATATTCAATGGGACATCAGATGATTAGATGAAAAAAAATTGCGAAAAATTTGGTTGGTCAAACCTGTATAACAAGATCAATATAATGTGTAAGGCATGTCATTCTTCTAGAAAATTCACATCATTTGCATGAATACTCAATTTTTAGGTTGGTTTATGCCAGTATATGGGAAAATTAATTCAGAAGTCTGACCTTAAGATATCGACTTTTTTAACAAAAGAAAGGGCGTAAGGAGCAATTAGCTCCCTATCGGCTATACACACGATACTACGGTGGCACAAAGGTGACATGTGTGTGTGTTTTTATTTATCTCGTGCGCACGAGATACTATGACGTGGCCACGATTTACTAAGTCGTACCCACGAGATAGTTAAGTCGTGGGAACGAGATACTATGTCGTGGCCACGAGATACTATGTCGTGGCCACGAGTTACTAAGTCTTGGCCACGAGGTAGTTAAGTCGTGGGAACGAGATACCATGTCGTGGCCACGAGTGACAAAGTCGTGGTCACGAGATAGTTAAGTCGTGGGAACGAGATACTATGTCATGGCCACGAGTAACTTAATCGTGGCCACGAGATAGTTAAGTCGTGCGCACGAGATAAATAACCAATCAGATTACACTATTTATACGAATTTTCCTAATAAACTAGACATGTGCTATAGAACAAGGCTGCCCCTACTTCACCTGCTTGTAAAAGTGACATTTTATAAATACAATGTATTGATTGGTCAATGATTTTACATAAGCGTCATTGTGACTCTGATTTTGACTCAATGACCTCATAATTATTAGGTGTCATCAGGTGCAATGATCTTTCTAGGTTATTTAAACCATGGCTTATTCCTTCTAAATCATTCACCAGACAAGGATTTTACATGACGTGTCATGTTTACCTTGACCCTTGCCTTCAAACATCCTTATAGGCTAACTACTGTCCATGGGCATTGTCCCTACCAAATAAAATAAACCAAGACTCATTCCTTCTCAAGTTATCGTATAAACATGGTTAACAGACAAACTGACCAATTCTAAATAGAATTATCCCCACAAAGGGCGATAACATATCCAAAATTAATGTCTGATTTATGGGCCTTAGAAGGCGACTTTCTTATATAAACCTAAAGACATGTATCAAGTTTTAAGTGAACACTACAGTATTTTCAAAAATTAATGTTGCATACAAAACTTTAAACAGATTTTTTTTCTAGGTTTAAAAAATTCATAGTGTAATCTGATTGGTTAATCATCTCTTGTGCACGACTTAGTTATCTTGTTCAAACGACATAGTAACTCGTGACATCGACATATTATCTCGTTCTCATTAACTATCTCGGGGCCACAACTTAGTAACACGTGGCCATGACATAGTAACTCGTGGCCATGACTAAATTATCTCGTGGCCACGACTTAATTATCGACTTGTGGCCACGACTTAGTAACTCGTTGCCACGACATAGTATCTCGTGCGCACGAGATAAATAAAAACACATACATGTCACCTTTGTGCCACCGTAAATGACAGAGCATTGGAGCAAAATAAAGAAGACGCTAATTTCGATGTTAGATGAAGAGTTTATTCATAATGTTATAATCAAGTAAAATGAAAGACATATTCATAAGAAAACATAAACTAAAATGTGCTACCTTCGAACAAACACGTTAGCCCTATGACTTGTAAGTGGGTCTGGTAGGTAGAGCTGATCAAGGTGCATGTTCCTGTGAAGTTCTGAGGCCCTAGAGGTAAGGACTTTCGTGTTAGGATTAAGGTTAAAGACATACCAAAAATATATGTCTTCCCAATGTCATTTACATGTTTATATAAAATATATATGTCACATATTATACACGTATAAAATTGTTTAATATACAGAGATTCTACTGCTAAAATTTGTAAACAAGAGGGCTATGATGGCCCTGAGGTCGCTCACCTGTATATAGGCCCCCCCGACCCCCCAACGTTGCAGGGCCAATTTTAACCCAAGGGCTTTTATTTGCACAAACTTGGTAGACACCCATAAGAAGTTGTTTCATGCTATACATCTAACCTCTAGCTCATTGGGCTTTTTTAAAGAAGATTTTTTTTAAGTTTTTACTATACACATATAGTTAAAAACAATGACACCCCTGGGGCCGGACCAGTTTTGACCCCAGGGCTTTTATTTGAACAAACTTTGTAGACACTAACAAGAAGATGTTTCATGCTTAATATCTTAATTCTAGCTATTTGGGTTTTTTCAAAGAAGATTTTTTAAGTTTTTGCTATACACATATAAGGAAAATCAATGACCCCCGGGGCGGTGCCAATTTTGATCCCAGGGCTTTTATTTGAACAGACTTGGTAGACACCTATTAGAACATGTTTGGTGCTAAATATCTAAGCCATAGCTCTTTGAGTTCTTTAAAAGAAGATTTTTAAGTTTTTACTATATGCATATAGGGAAAATCAATGACCCCCGGGGCAGGGCCAATTTTGACCCCAGGGCTTTTATTTGAACAAACTTGGTAGACACCTATTAGACCATGTTTGATGCTCAATATCTTAGCCATAGCTCTTTGAGTTCTTTAAAAGAAGATTTTTTAAGTTTTTACTATATGCATATAGGGAAAATCAATGACCCCCCGGGGCGGGGCCAATTTTGACCCCAGGGCTTTTATTTGAACAAACTTGGTAGACACCCATTAGAACATGTTTCATGCTAAATATCTTAGCTCTAGCTCTTTGGGTTCTTTAAAAGAAGATTTTTTTAAGTTTTTACTATATGCAAATAGGGAAAATCAATGACCCCCTGGGGCGGGGCCAATTTTGACCCCAGGGCTTTTATTTGAACAAACTTAGTAGACACTCACTAGAAGATGTTTCATGCCAAATATCTAAGCTCTAGCTCTTATGGTTTTTTAAAAGAAGATATTTAAAGTTTTTTCTTTCGGTTGCCATGGCAACCAGAGTTCTGCATGGAATTAAATTCTTTGAACAATTTTTAAAGGTGACCACCAAAGGAACATACCTGTGAAGTTTGGATGAAATTGGCATAGTGGTTTATGAGGAGATGTCATTTAAAGTAAAAGTATACGGACGACGGACTGACGGACGACGGACGGATGCCGGACGAAAAGTGATCACAAAGCTCACCCTGTCACTTTGTGACAGGTGAGCTAAAAAATCAAACCATTGATAAATATTACAAGCTAATTTAATAAATGAAAAGGAAATAGCTCTGATATTAAAATTTTATAGAAAACATAATATTTAAAAGATCTCCACTGAGATATAAAAATCTAAAAAGAAAGAATTTGTAACAAAGAACAACTGGGGAAAATAACACGGAAATATATGCAAAATAGTAAAAAAATAAAATTGAAAGTAATTTTTATCTATGTACATGTATAAGCATTTAAACGTTTTTCACATTTTAGTCTTTTTCACAATTAAAATTATTAGATCTACTCAGCCAGTTAATGATCTGAAATTCTTCACACAAGTCACTGGTCCAGATCTACATCAAATGGTATATTGCTAAATTTCGAAAAAATATTTCCTGTCCAAGAACACCCTTTTAATCTTTGCTTATTTGAATTATCACAATAACTCTGTCAAAATACGACAGCATAAAAACTGCTTATTCTATAACAAATAAGATAAAACGTATAAATGTTCCTCTCATGAATATGAATATTAACTCAAGAGATTAACTGTATAAATGATGTGTTTCTCAAACATGTGTTCAAACATATAAGCATGTTTAATGCCTGATAAATGGCTTGAACTTCAGTGGACCAGACATGTCATGATCATCTATCTCGTACTCTGTTGATCGGCTGTATTTCAAATCTGTGCTGATCAATACTGTGTCCTGTCAAAATTAAAACGTATAATTTATAACACTGAAAGTTTTCTTTATGAAATATGTTTTTGTATACTATTTAAAGAAACACATCTCGGTGATCTTAAAAGATTCTAAAGGCTACCTTATAAAAGGATAGGTTGTATACCAACCATTTAATAATGCTCTCGTTTAATAAAGTGACACCTAGACTGATCGACATTATTGCAGGCACAGGCCTGTATCAAAGGAGAAGCACCAACTGTTTGTAAGTCAGATGATGAGCTTTCTTATAGTCTATAGCCACTAATGTTTATAAAATCTTAATAAAATTCACTTAAATTACAATAATTTAATCAGTTCCTATTTCCTAGTCTCATAAACTAAAATATTTAGCTGTATTACGTTAATTTACTGAAGTCGCTAACTAAAACGCTGTAAGAAACATGGCAAAAAATATAATAATTTCGTGTCACAGTTATGTAGTGAAACCTAAAAACAGGACCAAGTACTCATTATTACCTTTGCAAAAGAAATCTTAGTATTTTGGAATTTTATATCACCAGTTACTGGCAGTGGAAATCCTCTCTTACCAAGATCTACAAACATAAAAAATATGAAAAATATAAAAGTTGAAATTACTTAAAAAGATACTCAACGAACAATTTCCTGAACAACATTTTCATCACAACTATGATTCTTGAACATAACTAAGTTATTCCATGTGCCCTACGAAAGATGCAAATTTGGCAATTTTGCTAAATTTCACGGATACACTGAAATAATTGTTCTATGTTAAAGATTTATACAAATTTTCAAAGCGATTTGTAGTTAAGAAAGCTACAGGCAATAAATATTAAATTTTCTTGCATTATAGTATATCAAAGTATGGTTAATTGTTTAAATGCATTGTCTAACAGCATTCATAATTATATTCCTACCCATTAGAACTCGAACCGCGCATTATTCTACAGCAATGCACTCACGCAACATTACGGCCATTTCCGTCAGTCTTCGGATAAGTACTAATATGAATAATAGCCGAGGATGTTCCCATTGGCACTCATGTTTAATAACTACTTTAAAACATATAATTTTATATGTATATTATAGAATTGGATTGAATGTAAATCGTATAAAGTATATGATTTACATACAATTCAGCTGTGGTATCAAATAAGATTTTAATACATATGCATGATTTACTTACCATTCAGCTGTGGTATAAGGTAAGATTTCAACACTTGCTTGATCAAAAAGTTGAGAAAAAAATCCTATAAAATAAAGCATATATATATAATAGCATGCCTTTTCTATAATACAAGATACATTGAGCAGTAATTGGTTCAATTCAGTTAATTTACCTTAATATCTAATTATATTATTACTGAAAAAACAACTTGAATTTTTTTATAAAACTACGACATGTTAGGTCTTTTAATTATTGCAAACAACAAAAAACACACAGAAAAACAGCAAAGCATCATGTCCCGTTTGTCTGCTCTCTACATAAAGTTGACATATAAAGTATCAGCCTAGTTATAGCAAATATACATGTTTAATTAACTTATCTGCTTATAGAACACAACAGGTGGGTTGATTTACAAACTAAACAATGAATACCTTTAAGCAAGTCAAATTGTATATTGTAATAAAAAAATAAAATACAATTTTAAAGTAATATTGTTGGGCAACCTTAATTAGCACTTATGTATCAAGAAATACTATGTTAAGGTAAAAACTCCTGAAAGTTGTATTCAGTCAAATATGATATACGACTTACACTGACTTCCCCCACGGCAGATTTCTCAACTTTAAGTTTTAAACTGAAAAAACAAAACAAAATGAACTGCCAGATACAAATGCTAGTTATAATTCAAACATGAAAAATATCAACATGAAAGTAACATTGATTCCTCTCGGCCAGATAGGCTGTGGTCTACATTATTTTTCTGGGAAAACGAAAAAATAAATAAAAAACAAACACCCCCTCCCTCCCCGAAGATTTCACAAAATGTAAACAAAATGATGTCAATATTCAAGAATCACCTAAACACTGGTGAGAGGTGGGGAGATCTCCACTGTCCTCTTCCCCTTAAAATTATACTGAGAATAAATAACTTACTCTAGATCTTTGATTTTTGCAAACAACAGCTCCTTCTGCATATAAACATCAACTGTTGTAGACATTGTCTGTAATATAAAATAATACAGCCTTACACAAAATTACGTTCAGGAAAAAGGAGTAAAAGGTTTATAAACAAGTACGTTCAATTTCAAGCCCCAGACAAAACTTCTCAACTGACTGCCATATCCCCAGTACCACATTATCTGTCCCCGATCTGAACATATTCGTTGTTTTTCTCGCCTACATTTTAGTACCGTCCAGTGATCCTTGTCTACGGTCACGCTTATACATGAACCAAGTGTGCTTGGATAACCGTGCTTTATTTGCAATAACGCACTTTTTTTTCTAAAGAAGCATGCTATATCTGAGATATCGCACTCAGCGTTATTATTAATAAAGCATGTTACTGGCGTATAACAACTGAGGAACATCAAAGACAAATCGCCGCACCATGCAATAACAACAGCTTATTGCAATGACAGCCTCGGCCTTATTGAATTTCTCGCCCTTAGGTGGCAAGTTTAAAATGCGTCTTTACAGATTTTAATGCATGGAAAAAGGTGCACTATCGCTCTATTGGTAAGATTTATCGTGGCCTTGAAGTCATGTAGGCAATAAAAATGTCAAATATAACTGCAACAATTTATATTTCATCTTTATTGGCCAGCTTTAAATATTTTATAAATATTAATTAATATATTTTTTGTGTATACTAAATAAATAAAAAATAAGAAATAAAAACAAAACCTCATTAAATTCTAAGAAAAGTTAAACAATGAAACATGTGTATCAATAATTGACAAAAGTTGGCTACATACAGCATGTAGTGTCAGTAGAAATGGTGCAGCTGTAGATCCAGGCTTTGTTGCATACATATCTATCTTTCCTGCAAAACTGAGAGTAACACCACCACTGGCAACTTCCATTTTTGGTGCCTGTGTGCTGTTCATATGTAGTTCAACGTTCATATTTGGGAAGTGCTTCCCTATCTGTAACATCATAAAAGACATATTTCCTACAGTCATATATAATGTATGATGTACTATGTCATATCATCAATTTATTGTAAACGTCTTAGGCTTTACCTAATCCTGGAATATTTCAAATAATTATGAAAGTAAAATAGAAAACAAAAACAGAATTCATAATGAACGCCCCAAAACAGCTATATTGAAAATATTGCAGGCTCGGTTTGATTTAGCCTATTCATGGATGGTAATGCTATTTGCAAGGTACCGTCCATGCCCCCTAGAACCGTCTTTAGCAAAACTGAACAATTAACCACGAAAATTTTGAATTTAAAAACATCCGCAGATGTATTCATACGGCGGTTATCATGGAACCTTCAATGTGACACGTCTTATGGCTCATATTAAAAAGAGAGCGGGTGCCTTTTAGAGAAAACTGATTTTGGAAATCGCTGATTAAACAAAGAAACATAATGGCAAATTGATTTTTTTTCAATTGTATTTTAAGTATCTCATTTAATTACATGTTCATACATACCTGAGGACTTAGGACAACAATACAGCGATCAAATTAAATGTATATCTCAGGAATCAAGATGCAAATACACTATTTACAATCATGTTTATACATACCTGAGGAATTAGGATTATATGTTCATACACACCTGAGAAATTAGGATTAAATGTTCATACATACTTGAGGAATTAGGATTAAATGTTCATACATACCTGAGGAATTAGAATTAAATGTTCATACACACCTGAGAAATTAGGATTAAATGTTCATACATACCTGAGAAAATAGGATTAAATGTTCATACACGCATGAGAAATTAGGATTAAATGTTCATACACACCTGAGGAATTAGGACGCCAATACACTGAATACCACTACAGGTTGTATTGAGAGCACCCTTATTACCAGGTGGTAGCTGAAATAAAATCATTGATATATTAAATCAATTGTTGGAAGTTATAATTTCTTTGTTAAAAACATCATACACAGCACATAATGTTAAAGTGTTATCAAGAAAAAATACGTAACAAGTCTGACAAAAAAAAGTATGCCTATGTCATACATGGTTTTGTGCTATAGTTTTAACATGAATGGTTTAACGTAATATTAAACAAAGAAGTTGTTTACTAAAATATAAAAGTGATAATATACATACATCTTTCTGTGTAAGGTTATATACCAGGAAGCCATGTTTCTGTGCAGTATAACCTATTGTATCAAACATATAATCTGACATCCACAAATATAACATACTACTTGTATCTGTGTCATTAGGCATAGGGGGCGGGTTCATGGGGCTTTCTGTACCAGGATCAGTCAACCAGAACAGTTCTCCCTGAAACAATCACTTTATTCATAAAATTGTTTTACAGTTAACATTGTCAAACTCTAAGTGGCTTTCCATGTACTTTTAACATTCTTTTCTTATAAACAATTTGTAACAGGGATTAGAAAACATTTAGACAAGACTAGAATATTATTTAAATATAGAAAAAGTAGATCATTAGATTTTCATTTTTCATTTGACCTCTTTTTGTTCACAAAGACACATAATGAAGAATTCCAGGTACAACAACGAATGCACACTGACGATACACTAACAAGGCTAAATGAAATACAACTAAAGAAAAGTGTAATATTCTATAGTATATAGATTAATGAACTTTACTTTTATTTTTTTTGTACCTTATGAAATGTGTCCATATACTGAGGCTGAAATTCCGGTTTCTTTATTAGGCGGTAGTCTAGAAGAAATTTCTTTCCAAGAGGTGTTGTTACTAAAATTAGAAATAAACAAAGTAATTACTAAAACGAAAAGCTTTGCAGACATTTTGTTGTCTTATTGTGTACAATACAATTATAGTGAACATTAAACATTAGAATAAATAGTTTCAAATAATGATATACGAAATTAATTCATCGAAATGAAAATGTAAGAAAATTATTATATTTGTACTTTCAACACAACTGAATAAGAAAGGTAATTAGATAAAATATTATAAACATTACATTATTATTGCGATTTGTTTTATTCTCAATTCAAATGTCAAAACTGCTCAATCAAAAGTAATTCGTGTATAAAGTCATCATTATGTTGTAACTTTAAAATATTTCTTTAAAGTAATGATATTTGAATTAAAAAATATGCCGCAAAGACCAAAACGTATTAATATATAGGTACACGCATAGTTTACCCTCTTCGATCTGATAAACATTCATCTACGGCATACATTCATAATTATATTACATGTATACAGTTTTATAAATACCTTTCAATTGAGCAAGTTTATTTTTTGCATCCTCATTGATTTCCTTGTTAATCAATGTACACATCTGTAAAAATACACAAAACATAAGTCTACAATGCAGACTAATAATATTTTATTAACAAGAATCCTTAAAAGAGCCAAACTATTTGATCCAAATTTTTCAAAATAAAGTTAATTAAACTTGAGAATATATTTTGCTGTGAATCTTAAATATCATAAACGTCTGTGAAAATCTAAGAGAAGAAAATCCCCTATACCTTAAACAAAAACATTGATAATATAATTTTGTCGTTACTGATGATCATCAACAAACAAATGAGCCGCATCACGACAAAACCAACATAATGGGTTTGCGACCAGCATGGATCAAGACCAGTCTGCACATCCGCGCAGTCTGATCAGGATCCATGCTGTTCGCTTACCAACCCTATTACAAGTAGAGAAACTAATAGCGAACAGCATGGATCCTGATCAGACTGCGCGGATGCGCAGGCTGGTCTGGATCCATGCTGGTCGCAAACGCACTTTGTTGGTTTTGTCGTGACGCGGCTCAAATTTAAATTTCCCCTAACCTGTTTATTGAGAGTGTCTTTAATGAGTCTTCCAACTTTATCTCTAAAAAGATTGTATAGCCAGGACATGCCTCCTTTAAAGTGGAAGTTAACATGATCTATGTTGCTGGAACAACCAGTTGATGAAATAGTCGGTCTTCCATTTGTGTCTTCACCTATGTTATATGAATTTATATGAAAGGTTGAAAGGTAAAGTTTTCTGCAAGCATAACGGTGAAGGTAAAAGAGAAACAATGGGTAAATATATATAACATTGGAATAGACAAATATATTGCTCGAACATGGTGTATGTCTACTAATGAAATACTGAACGATATAACGAAGAATTAGGAAAAACCATTAACGGTGACGTAATGTTAACGTAAACATATGTGGCGTTATCACCCAACTTGATATTAGTCTTCTTAAATTCTACATAGCAACCAGTGTCTGAGTTGCCCGCTATTCACTAAGTTCATATTTTGAACATTTTCCCTATAAATGATGAATGCTTTAGTTGACACGTCCATTTAATATGTTAGCGTGAAGAGGGTTAATTATTGAAACTTGCTGTCTGGTACATTGTTTTTGTGACAAGTCAAAGAATATTTTTGAAAGGGTGTAAATGTTGACAACAACAATAAAGAGAATAAATTGATAACATTTACCAATGTTCAGTCCTAGACTGAATGATAGTCCGGATACATCAGCATCAAAACTGCCTTTATCTTTAATAAACCTGTTAATAGTAAATACGTAGTGAAAAATACTACACCACTTTTCATATAACTGACACTGTTAAAATATATATTGTAGCAAATGTAGATAATTATGTAAGAGCATTCAAAGTTATTCGGAATAGAAGTCAAAATACAGGCATTTTGCCTAACATCATGTTTGCATTTTAATTAAAATATTAATATGTTTGAATGCTATTTAGATAATTTGACACATTGTATAATCTTTCAATTTTTTAATATATAACATATGATACATACATACAAAAACAACTACCACTATTTTAAATATAACATACGATAAATTCATACATATAAAACAACTACCACTATTTTAAATATAACATAAGATAAATTCATACATACAAAAACAACTACCACTATTTTAAATATAACATACGATAAATTCATACATACAAATACAAATACCACTATTTTAAAGATAACATACGATAAATTCATAAATACAAAAACAACTACCACTATTTTAAATCTAACATACGATAAATTCATACATACAAATACCACTATTTTAAATATAACATACGATAAATTCATACATACAAAAACAACTACTACTATTTTAAATCTAACATACGATAAATTCATACATACAAATACCACTGTTTTAAATATAACATACGATAAATTCATACATACAAAAACAACTACTACTATTTTAAATCTAACATACGATAAATTCATACATACAAAAATCACTACCACTATTTTAAAGATAACATACGATAAATTCATACATACAAAAACAACTACCACTATCTTAAATAAAACATAAGATACATTCATAAATACAAAAACAACTACCACTATTTTAAATCTAACATACGATAAATTCATACATACAAATACCACTGTTTTAAATATAACATACGATAAATTCATACATACAAAAACAACTACTACTATTTTAAATCTAACATACGATAAATTCATACATACAAAAATCACTACCACTATTTTAAAGATAACATACGATAAATTCATACATACAAAAACAACTACCACTATCTTAAATAAAACATAAGATACATTCATAAATACAAAAACAACTACCACTATTTTAAATATAACATACGATAAATTCATACATACAAAAATCACTACCACTATTTTAAATATAACATAAGATTAATTCATACATACAATAACAACTACCACTATTTTAAATATAGCATACGATAAATTTATACATACAAAAACAACTACCACTATTTTAAATATTACATAAGATAAATTCATAAATTCATACATACAAAAACAACTACCACTATTTTAAATATAACATAAGATAAATTCATAAATTTATAAATACAAAAACAACTACCACTATATTAAATATAACATAAGATACATTCATAAATACAAAAATCACTACCACTATTTTAAATATAACATACGATTTATTCATAAATACTAAAGCAACTACCACTATTTTAAATATAACATACGATAAATTCATACATACAAAAACAACTACCACTATATTAAATATAACATAAGATACATTTATACAAACAAAAACAACTACCACTATTTTAAATATAACATAAGATACATTTATACAAACAAAAACAACTACCACTATTTTAAATATAACATAAGATACATTTATACAAACAAAAACAACTACCACTATTTTAAATATAACATAAGATACATTTATACAAACAAAAACAACTACCACTATTTTAAATATAACATAAGATACATTTATACAAACAAAAACAACTACCACTATTTTAAATATAACATAAGATACATTTATACAAACAAAAACAACTACCACTATTTTAAATATAACATAAGATACATTTATATAAACAAAATAAACAATTACAATTTCTTATAATGGAAGTCTCCATGAACCTTTATTCCTGCACCCGATGCTCTCCAGGACAGACCAACACCTGGGATAGTATTTAATGTACTGGCTGGGGCTGTAAACTGTACTACATTAATACTGAAACGTGAAATAATACAACATCAATGATTTAAATGAAAACAAAAGACATCAATTTTTATTCCTCATTGAAAACATAAAGTTCACGAAAGTATTTTTTTTTAAAAATGCCCGATCTCGCACTTGTTACTGTAATTACCAATTCATAAAGTATTTTGCATTATCAAAATGATACCTCACCTTTAGAAAAAAGTATAATGAAAAATCAATCAAGGTTACGCTTAAAATTCTTCGAATTTTCTTACCATTTGAAAGTTCTACACATATATGAGCCGCGTCACGACAAAACAAACGTTATGCGTTGCGCATCCGCGTAGTCTGATCAGGATCCATGCTGTTCGCTATCAGTTTCTCTACTTGTAATAGGGTTTGTAAGCGAACAGCATGGATCCTGATCAGACAGCGCGGATGCGCAGGCTGGTCTGGATCCATGCTGGTCGCAAACGCACTATGTTGGTTTTGTCGTGACCCGGCTCATATGTATTTGTCGGTTTTGACAAGGTAAATCTGCCAGACTCACTTGTTAATGGAGTAATCGAAGCCAGATGCCTTGCCTGATTGGTCGGGTATTTTCAGTTTCTGTACATTTTCTTTCAGGGCTTCAGTGGCAGAATTGATTGCTATTAATTTATAAAAATAAAGAAATTGAATTTATATGCACATCAGAAAAATATAAACAAGAACAATAAGAGAGACCAGAAGGCTTGTTTACAGTTAAATTTGATGAATCACTTGCGCTTAATTGCAATGGGTTTGAATCCCTCAAATGACTTAAAATTCCTTCTTGCTAGGAAATCTTCAAGCATCGAGGTTTGTGGTACTATTCTATTGCCATAAAGAAATAATAAAGTTGAAGAATAAATAAAAAAATTCAAAATTTAAGGGGGAAATAATTCTGGAAATATGGACGGTAGATTTACAAACCTTGTCATATCATTATGATGTATGATAATAAGGAACATATACTTAAAATCTGAAGTTGATACCTAAAGAAAGAAAGAAGTTATAAAAACAAACAAAATTTCTTTATGAAAGTTCTAAGTTCAAGGATGACAATTTTGTCAATTTAGGTGCTAGAACTATGAACCCTGCCACTAATGATTTGGATGATGATAAGAAACAAATATATGAAGTTTGAGGAAGATACATTTATTTATTTTAAAAAAAAATATATGAAAATTCTAAGTTCAATGAGGTTTTCTGACAGTTTTGATTAAATAGTTATGAACCTTGTCATATATGATGTGGTTGATAATCAAAAACATTTAATTCAAGTTCAGCTTAAGATATAAAGTAGTTTTAGTGAAAAATAAACAAGGTAAAAACTGCCGCGGTTGCGGACACTGGGTGACTAGAATAGTTCTGAGTATATTCTCTAAAGTCGAGGATAAATGAGCCGCGTCACGACAAAACCAACATAATGGGTTTGCGAACAGCATGGATCCAGACCAGCCTGCGCATTCGCGCAGTCTGATCAGGATCCATGTTGTTCGCTATCAGTTTCTTTACTTGTTAAAGGGTCTGTAAGCGAACAGCATGGATCCTGATCAGACTGCGCGGATGCGCAGGCTGGTCTTGATCCATGCTGGTCGCAAACACATTATGTTGGTTTTGTCGTGACACGGCTCAAATGTTGTGCATAATCTTCATACTGCCACCTATCTACATTTCAAGTTTCATAAAAATATATTAAGTGCTTTTTAAGTTGTCATAAAAATTGTTATATTTGCCATATCTAAGTCTATATGTGGCCATAGCAACCAAATTTCTCAATATTACACTAAGGAAGAAATAAAATGATGTGCAAAATATTAAGACTGCCATCTACACATCTGTAATATTTCATAAAACTATTTTCAGTACTATTTGTGTCATCACGGGACCCAGTTTTTATGTCTTATTTGCCATATTTTAAGTCTTTTTGTTGCCAAATTTATTCACAAAGAAAGAAATGAGGAAGATGTGCATACGCACCAGACTGCCACCTATCCATATTTCAAGTTATTTTCAGCACTTTTTGCGTTATCACGGGGTCCAATTTTGTGGACAGACTGACGGACGGACGAATGGTAAACCTAAAGAACTCTCCCGTTAAACCGATAGGAGACTTATAATGATAATAGATTTAAAAAAGAAACAACATGTGAAGCTGAATAAATTTGAAAGAAGTTCGAAAGTTTGTGGATGATGGAGAACATTAAATGCAACGGTATTCCCGGTGATAAGATGACAGAATAAAGTGTTTAACACAAAAATTAATTTAGCTGGAATTTATAATTATTGTATAAGAATTTATAAAATTTTATGACAAGAAACTATATATATCTAAGTTAAATCACAATGAAGAAATAAAATTGCATAAAACAAGTCATCAAAGTTATTTGAAAAGAATATGGGTTATTTTTGAATATTTTTTTTTCAGATTAAGATTATTGAAAGTAATTAAACTGCTTAAACTTGTTAGAATCGATTTAATAACAAGAGCTGTCGGAGAACAGCGACACTCGACAATTTGAAAGAGTTGTCACAAGGTTGTTTCATTGAGTATAATAATATTTACCTATATGAATACATAAAATTGTCCAAAAAGTACAAAGACTTGTTATTAACATGTTTTATCGAGTAAATCACTGCTTTATTATTATGAATGCATACAATTGTCTCAAAAAAGGCAAATACGCTTCAGTAGTTACGGAGATACCAGCTTACACGCAAAACTTAACCAAGAATTTTTAAATCAAACATGCAAAAAAGCAAATCAGAATTATGCGACTTAAGCCAATCATGTTAAATAATCTCAGAGAACAGGTGTGTCAAGTTTCAATCCATTCCCTTTAGATATTAATTTTCATAAGTTTGGAGAAACAAGCTAACACGTGAAAACTTAATCAAGAATTTCTAAGTCAAAAAGGGGCATAAATATGCAAAAAATAGCAGAGTTGTGGTACTTGTGCCTGTCATGTTAGATAATCACACAGAACAAGTGTGTGAAGATGCAATTTATTCCCTTAGTTATGGAGATACCAGCTTACACGCAAAAACTTAACCAAGAATTTCTTATTTGAAAAGGGGCATAATTATGTAAACAGCAGATCAGAGTTATGGGACTTGTGTCAATAAGGTAAAATAATCACTGAAGTTTCAATCCATTCGCTTCAGTAGCTATATATATATATATATGGAGATACTGCCTTACCCGTAAAAAAACTTAATCACAGGGACGCCGACTTCGACAAATGGGTGACTGAATTAGCCCGAGTTTTCTGCGAATAGTCGAGCTAAAACCCGATAAAGACTATGAAATTACCGTCGAGGTGTTCAGATTGCTTAAATCGATATTTTTGGAAATTCCCCTTATCACACAGGAGTTATTTTTGGACATTGAAACAGGAAGCTAACACTTATGTCATGTGTTCATTACGGAAGATATTACGACAGTTAATTTTATCTAATGATAAACATTGAAATAAAACGGGAAAGCACCCTTGGCCAGCCCAATATTACAACAAAATGTTAACCCTTTTAGCTGACGTACACAATAGTATATCTTGGAATATTACACTGTAGCTTTAAAATTAAAACGTCAGATGAATTCATTGCCTCAACTATAGCTTATCAATACACATTATATAGATAATTCCGGCCAAGCCTATCTTATTTATTACCCTCCAAAACTGAAAATAAAGATGTCCCTACCATGAAGGGACTTTAAAGTATTACATCTATTTTGAAAAAAAAGTATTATTAATTACATATCTATAAATTTGTCTCAGATGTGACTGTAATGTATTATAATTATATAACATTAACATAAATATGGGTACTAATTACATATGTACTTCATAATGAAAATCCACACCTGTAAACAAAATTCTTTTATATCGAATTAATCTACATGTACATGTATTTCTATTTAATAGCATTTATGTATTTGTTCTTCATGGTTACACAACCGGAACATTTATTGGAGAAATTACATAAAGCATTCCCGTTTTTAAGATATTTGAATTAAACCTAACTTTGCCAATCTTCAGTTAAATAAACCAAATTTGTTAGTAATAAACTTACCGTATGTAAATCCTTTCTGTGTTATCCTTGCCTTAAAGCCCGGGTTTCGAGCACACAAACCTTCTCGCAAGATAAACAGGAGCAAAAAGCACACAAATAGACACTTGGGCGACATGGCTGTCATCAAATTGAAGCTACAGTTTAAAATGAAATAAGATCAAATCAATTTTAACTTCCCCGTTTCTCCTAATTCTGTATTAGTTTATGATGTTTAATCTAGTGTGTCGAGATAAACAAATGTATGTAAGTGGAAACGGATAGAACATTTATTTACCTTTAACCTTTATTTCCGTTAAACTTACATAAAGGATTTGTGTCGCTTTGTGTTTTATATTGACCATCGTTTGTTTATGTTTGCCTGGTTATATACTGGTGTTTAATACAGGTACAAGCTTGTATCACTCGTCGCAGGAGAAAACTCTGTCTCTCCCCTACCCTACCCCCCCCCCCTGCCCCCTCCACTCTCGCCGTCTTGTGTTATCTATGCCCAACAAACTATTAAGAACACTTTTTTACAGAGGCAAAATTATAAACATATATAACATCCACATTAAATGATATATGTCGGAGATACGTACAGGTATTTGTACATTCAAAGGTGTCCAGTGCTTGAAATACGTGATCGTTTATTTTCATTAAATATTAAACAAAATATCGCGGTACAAGGTTTTCTCTCTATTGACATATATAAAGACTGAAAAACAGAGATGGTATAATATATGACAGCTATACATATATAATACTTGAGTTTAATGAATGTTTTACAGCATTCTGAGTTCTACAGAACATGTACATTAAGAAAGAATAAGAACAAAAATCTAATTTCAATATATTATAAAGACTAACCTTGATTCCCAACCAATTAAATTTACAATATAAAGCTAAATATTATTTAGAGCTAAAGGTCATTAAATCGATTATTGGACACAACATAATGTAGGAAATTATTTATTTATATCTTGATCATGTTTGTTCATGTGAAAACCTGATAACCACAAACAGACAGGTTTATTCCATGGATGATTGCTGTCCATAACCTATGGTTTGAGCAAATCTTTTACTGTTTATCTGTTAACTACGCCATAATTGTAAACCATGTATAATGGCATTATTTGAATAAAATAAAAGCAACATGTCACTTATAACAATTTGGTATTATAGTACTGAAATAAACTATTAGAACCAGCATAATATCATGAAATAAATCCATAAAACTGTTTACAATTCAAATATGATTTTTTTATATGAAATAATATATTTCACAAAGGTACATATATGTACATGTAACACTGTATACTCGTAACAAGTTTCTCACAAGAAAGATAGCGTATCGAGCGCCTTAGTATGTTAGATTAATTAATTTAACAAAGTTAAGTTATCTGGTGAATATAATGGTATATATTTGTTTTACCTTTAGATATAAATTCCTTGTTAAGACGCCATCTTGTAAACAAATGGATTTTCCCCGATTCGGGTCAACTGGCTTAAGGCAAGTAAACAAGGGAAAGGGGAGATAAAACAAAAAATAAATTTTTGTCAACATTTCAAAAACCGACTTTTAACTTTTATACAATTGAAAATTTAAATTTAAAACGTTTTTTACATCAGCCAGGGGGCTCGGCGGGGGTTAAACCCTTCAATGAAAATTTTTTCTTTTGGTTATTTTCCGTGGGGAATAAAAGAAAATTGGGTATTAAAAGCTTTACATAAAATTTATTAAAACATTTCCACATAAAAAAAAACAAAAAAACAAAACAAAAAATGCATTTTTAAATAAAGGGTTTAAAATAATTGTTTTGGAGGGGTATGGGGGTTGAAAGGGGGGGGGGGGGGGGGGGGGTAAAAGGGGGAGGTGAAAAATTTTTCCCCATGAAAAGCAAAAAGACAAAATAAATCTTTTTTAAATAATTTTAAAATTAACCCAAATTTTTAGACCTTGATATAGAGTAGACGAAGCGATTTTCTAGTTTAGGTCGGACAACTGTATTAATTTTCAAATAGACTTACAATATAAGGAATGATCCTTAAATCGATCATTCATGTTAAAGATGTGATTTTTCAAGGAGAACGACATGCCTGACCATCAAAATGATCTTGTTAACCCATTACTTCATATACACGCCTTTTAACGCCTTTTTCACCCCCCCCCTTTTTGTTGTCTCAAATGATGAAAAAATGCCTTATTTAGGCCCCAAACACTTGTGTTTGTTTGAGAAATGTTGTTAAAAAAATTGACCTCTTTTTCGGCGCGGCCCCCCAACGAAAAGATACATCAGGGGGTTGCCAGAAGGGGGATGTGCCCCCTTCTGTTTTGGGGGGTTTGAAGGGGGGCGGAGTCCCCCTCATCGCCAAGAAAATTTTGGACTTGTGAGAGGCTGTAAATGACCCCAGATTGATCATAAGGTAACGTGTAACCAACGCTGAAAAGCATTTGACTCTATCTCAATCCATTGATAAGTTGCAGCACTTTGAAATCAATTTTGATGAAAAAATCAACGCAAAATAGTGATTTTTGACAATTTTGAGATGTCCCCTCGTTGCCATGGTAACAGAAAATTTAAGTCTGAGCATGTTGTTGCAAGGACAATGGTCCAGTCAACATTTGTGCCAAGTTTGATTAGTGTTGAAGCAGTTTTTATAGTATTATAGCAATTTGAACTTGTAACGGGAGACTTTTCAATGAAAACAGCCATTTTTCACAAAATGCTCATGAAGCAATGGGTTAAATAGAGGTAACCGGCCACACTTCGAAACATGTTTATTATCCTCATTTCACTGAAATCTTCTGCTGATCACAGACCTGACGTATACCTTTTTGAAATGCAAATATCCAGAAAAAAAAAACATCCTAGAGGCTTATGAAACAGTTTATTTTCTTTAAAAAAAAAACCACAAAAACACCAAACAATTAAAAAAAAACAAAAAAACAAAACAAAAAAACATCAACAACAATGCATTGTTCGATTCTTAAATATTTTTCACATAACATTTAACATCACATTTTCATCCAATTACCTGATGCCCCATGGAATCTTACGTTTTTCCATCCTCTTCTTGCAGACCGTCGCTTGCAATGTTACAATGCAGTAATCTGACTTATATAACGACGCACCAGTATTTACCGTGCTATAGAAGCATTGTTCTGTATAAAGTCGCAGTACCCTTCTTGTTTTAAACGAATAAATTTTCTTTGATTTAGCTATAGCTATATTCCTGCTTTACACTTTATAAAGTCACAGCAATTACCTTATTATACAAGCTGATATATCTTGTTATAGACTCGGTTATTATGTCATATGAGCGGTGTCCAGCTAGACAAGTTTTATTTGTTACATCAGTTAAAGATACTTTAAAACCCAATGTCATTAAAAGGTAAAATATTCAAAAGAAATTTAAAACTAAAAAAGAACGTAAGCATATTTTAAAACACATCTTTATCAAAATGCATGAATTACGTCTATATTATATCATATTTATTCGATGTTTTATGTAATGATAAAAAAGAACAACTTAAACACCAAGAATATTCAATTCACAAAAGTTGAACATTTCACAGTGTGGAAAGAAAGTATCTTTATAATTTACTGAAAGTCTTCACGTTTATTGTAATTAAAAACACCATTTTACTTCCTTTGCAAACTGATACAACTCAAATTGTATCACTTCTTTAGATCACGGGAAGTATAATTTTTATGCGTTTCTACACAATGAAATTTATTCCAAATTTCCTTAAAGGCCCATTATGCCCCAGAAATGATTTTTTATATTTTATTTTACAAAGCATTTTTTTGTAAATTTTACTGCACGTTTATAGTTTCCAAAAAGTAACTCATTGGACAATGTCCTGATATGTCTTTTTCCTCTGTTGCTTTTTGGTAGTTGGTTCAGTTGAACCAATGAAAAGTATTTTGTATGGAAGTCAAAATACTACTTTGTTTATATTCTGCTATTTTTATGACAAATATTTTCACATTTAGAGCTATTTTCTTCAGATAACAAGCATCCAACATGCTCTGAAACCATTATTTAAACATTATAAAACTCATGTTTACTCTTTCAAAGAGTAAAGAAGTAAACATTTATTCGTTTCAGAGGCATAATGTGCCTCACAGTTTTCCTTGCTTTTGAAAGAAAGGTGGATGTAACAATACTTAAAATTATATTAATTAATGAACATATCTTGTCTGTGTGGCCTTTTTGTCGGAAAGAGAGAGAGAGAGAGAGAGTAAGACATGAAACTCTTGAAAAAACTAATTCCGTATATTCTTTTTTTATCTATCTTCATATATCAATGTTTATGGTGAGTTGTATCATGATTTCACGATCTTTTAACTAAATGTTGTAGTTTCTATGATTCTTTACATCAATTATTAATAAACATCTATTTTTCCTCATAGAGTTTTCCCGAACTTTGAATTTCTACACTATATTCAGCCAGAATATGTACGGATGACCTAATTGTCTATCTTTATTGATAAAGATATAAAACAGATATATCACAGGACCGTTGTTTCTGTTAATGACAGATAATTGTTCAATTGAGTTGTTGCCTGTCTTAAAATAAGCTGTAATAAAAAAGTAGTAGCATCTAGCTCCATTGCAATCTAAAACAATTTTCCTCAGAAAATATTATTTTCTGGAGAATAAAGCTGTTACTAAAACACTTGTTTTATTATTACAGGTACGGGCAACAGTGTAATGTTCAGTGTAATGTACAGTAAAATATTCAGTGTTATCAAAAGTGTAATGTTCAGTGTTATGAAAAGTTTAATGTTCAGTGTCATGTACAGTGTAATGTTCAGTGTAATGAACAGTGTAATGTTCAGTGTAATGTTCAATGTACTGTTCAGTGTAATGTATAGTGGAATGTTCAGTGTAATGTACAATGTAATGTTCAGTGTAATGTACAGTGTAATGTACAGTGTAATGTTCAGTGTAATGTACAGTGTAATGTTCAGTGTAATGTACAGTGTAATGTTCAGTGTACAGTGTAATGTTCGGTGTAATGTACAGTGTAATGTACAGTGTAATGTACAGTGTTATGAAAAGTGTAATGTACAGTGTAATGTTCAGTGTTATGAAAAGTGTAATGTACAGTGTAATGTTCAGTGTTGTGTACAGTGTAATGTTCAGTGTAATCTACAGTGTAATGTACAGCGTAATGTTCATTGTTAAGAAAAGTGTAATGTTCAGTGTAATGTACAGTGTAATCTACAGTGTTATCTACAGTGTAATGCTCAGTG